GTATATAGTATATTTGACTAGTATATATTTATATATATAAGTATATATACGTTAATATGTTGATATTATGTATATGTATGTATTGTATGTATGCTATGTTATGTAGTACTGTATATTTAAATACCTATATAATTATATATTCCATTATATTATTAATATATCATTATTGGTAGGTTATTAATAATATATAATATATATTACCTATTATATATATACATTACTTAGCACTGTAAATAATTAGATATTAGACTATTTATTATTTAATACTTATCAGATATATTAATAATATGTATCGTATGTATGTATCGTATATTTGACGTACATATATTAATATTACTACGTATATATATACATAAAGTATATATATAGCAATACTATTATATAATATATATATACACACTATATGATAGAGAGCTATACATATATTCTAATATGTATATATATACTTCGCCTATTATATACACCACACCACACACACACACACCACACACACCACACACACACATCACACACACACACACACACACACGCATCCACACACACACAGCACACACACACACAACACACACACACACACACACACACACACCACCACACACCACACACAACACCACCCAAATTATATATATATATATATATATATAAATATTATATATATATATATATATATATATATGTATATATATATATATATATATATATATATATATACATATATACACACCAGATATATACAAACAATGTGTGTGTGTGTCTGTGTATTAGTGTGTGTGTGCGTATTAATGAAAATATATTTTTTATTGTATTTGTATATCTATAATCATTTCCATATTCATATTTCAATTAATCTAATAACCTGCTGCTCGAGCTGTCTGTATATACAACAAATAACCTTTATTTTACCCATATTTCACTCTGAATTCCATATACAACAACAAAAAAACATTTATTTAAAAATATTTCCCCCTGAATTGCACATACAACAAAACATTTATTTAAAAATATTTCATTCTGAATTCTAAATACAACAAAAAATCACGAATTTAACCATATTTCCCTCTGGATTCCATAAACCAAAAAACATTTACTTAAAAATATTTCACTCTGAATTCCACATACAACAAAAAATCCTGAATTTAACCATATTTCCCACCGGATTCCAGCGCATTCCTGCTCGACGATTCGGATCCTCTGCCGCGACCCTCCCCGAACACGCCCCCGCCCGCCACCCACGCCCCCGCCCGCCGCCACGCCCTCCTCCCTGGCGCTGCAACTGACGCAATCCCCGCCGCAACAGGACCCGAAAAAGGACCTCAAGGACGAGCTCCCGTCGCAGGTGACCTCCGACGAGAGCGACTTCTTCAATCCGTACAAGGGGAAGGTGATCGAGAGGAAGGTTGTCAAGAAGATAAGTGGAAGGGGAGAAGAAGAAGAAGGTTGGAACTATTGCTGCTGAAAGAAGGTGAATAAGAAAGGCTATGCGGGAGCCGGTGGAGGGAGAGACCCGGCCTTCGGCTTTGTGAACAAGGACTTCCGGTCGCCCTATGATCCCCAGGCTCGCAATCCCATCGTGGAGACGTTCGAGAACTTTGTCAACGGCCAGTACGGGATAAATCCGGGTACTTTGCTGGGAGCCGTGGCAGCCCTGCGGCAGTCGAAGGGCTCGAATAATGACGGGGAGAGGACCAGGGCTTCAGATCGGGGGAGCAGCGGGGAGCAGAGACTTGGAATGCGCGACGAGGAGGGAATCGGCAGTTCGAAGGAGGAAATGGCACTATGCGAGGGGGGGCGTCGGGGGGAAGGACTTACGGGGGGGGAGGAGTAGCAGTGACAAAGCGACGCGAGGGCCTCCCGTAAGACCGCGGAAGGAGAACAATGACGCACAGGGATCGAAGCAGAATATCTTGGGGTCCCTCCTGACCCAGATCGGCCCGTCCATCCTCGAGGGCGCGCTGTCGAAGGTCGCGCACAATGGCCGAGGCAATCCTGAAGGACAACAGACGCAGGGAAGCCCCTTGACGACCCTCTTCAGCCAGGTCGGGCCGAGTCTGCTGAGTGGATTCCTGCAGAACGGGAAGGGTCCTTCGGCTCGAGGAAACGGAGGGAGCGAATCGAGTCCATTGCAGTCCATCATGAGCGGCTTGGGTCCGGTGCTTCTGGCCGGAGCTGTATCCCAAGGACTCGGCGGAAATGGCAGGGACAAGGACGCCCAGAGTCCTATCCAGTCGATGATCAGCAACCTCGGACCGCAACTGATGAGCAGCGTCATAAAGCAAGGACTGGGTGCGGGAAAAGGCCGGTCTCAGGATCCTGGTCCCGTGGAGTCCATTATCAGCGGCTTGGGTCCTCTGCTAGGAAAGGCAGTGCAAAGTTCCTTCCAGGGAGACAGCGGCAAGAGCCCTGTAGTCTCGATCCTCAGCGGTCTAGGATCCAATCTATTATCAGGAATGACCAAAAATGGACAAGATAAAAATAGATATAACGGTTTCCCTCAGCACAA